AGCACGCCGCGCCGGCCGTCGCGTCGCCCGCCGGCTACGCCGCCGCCTTCGCCGCCTTTGAGGCTGCGCGGAAGCCGAACGCCGACGCGATCGCCGACATGGCGCTCGAGAACTACGTCGAGATGCAGTCGAGCACGGCCGACCCGCAGTTCCGCCTCTGCAAGGCGGTGGAGAACGCGCTCGAGAACTCGCCCCTCGGCGCGCGCTTCCGCTCGCGCTACGCCATGGTGCGCGACCCTAGATGCTGAGCACAGGTCCCTGTCGAGAGGACTCGCATTCAGCTGTACGCGGCTGTGTGCGGCTGTACTCGTACCCCGTGCATTCATGCGACGCTCCGAAGACACCGCACGGCACTCAAAGCCCGGCTTGTGTGTGCTCACGACGGCAGGTCTGCTACGGCGGGGCGGGCAACGTGACCTACGCCAACGCGCAGGCGCTCGGCCGCGTGCAGTGGGAGATCGTGCTCGAGCTCGCAAAGGGGGTGAGCAGCGCCGAGGAGGCGGCGGCGCAGCTCGACGTGGCGCAGGCGGAGAGGCTGCTGGCGGAGAGGCTCGAGCCGCTGCAAAAGGAGCTGCAGGTCGACCTCGCCACGGTGTCGCACGCTGCATAGTTGAGCGTGCCCTCGCCAAGCCTCGCGCCTCGGGCACCCGAATCAAAATCCCAAGCAACCCAATTCGGATCGTGGGCAACGGCCAACGCTAGAGAGTACGTATGTAAAGAATTCAGAAAAAAATCGCCGAATGTGCTACGGCTCTATGTGGCGAGACCGAGAGGCGGTTGTGGGTTGGACGGGTTGTTGCACGAGTATATATGGGACACGATGTCTCAAATATGAGGGGCTTTGACTCCTACCAGCTCCTGACGCTATCCCTGGCAGCTCTAATGACCAGGATCAGTAGTGCTATAATAGAGGGTGCCCATACTAGCGCAGGAGCTGCCACACTCGCCCGGACCGTCCCCTTCTGGGGCCGGTTCCGCAGCCCGCGAGAGCCGACAGCGGGGCCGTGCCGCGGGTGCCTACTGCCGAGTGCCACAAACACTGCGCCGTCCCGCCATCACCTACAGGCTGTCTTGTGTGATGGTTGGGATGTCCAAACGCCACCATCTTGGCTCTTGCGACCTCAAACCCGCGAGCTGTATGGGTGGTCCTGACGTCGACAGACGCCGGAGGACCACGGTGAAGCTGAGCTGAACGAGTCGACAAGTCTCGTCTGAGCCCGTGGCGG